CTATCCATCTCAATTGAATATATAATTTAATTCTTGTTTTTCTATTCATCACCTAACATGATTTTAACACTTATTTTATTTTATGTTTTTTTTGCAATTGATTAATGTATTTATTAATTTTCATGTATTTATTTAATTTATTGTTACTGCAATTTGTTACCAAATTTGATAGATATCTGTTCACTTATGAAGTGGTACGTGAAATTCAAAATAAAAATATCATTATAACATTAATCCCCACTAGCATGAAGAACATCTCAAAATTAATATTGTTTTGGTTTTATCGACAGATATTATAATTGTATATTTTGAATAAAAATTTTTAATGAAATTTAACTTAAAATTTAAAAACATCGTTGATAAATTTGTATAAAAATTATAATTTATTATAATAGAATAGAATGTCATAGAATGAATTTAATTCAATTCAGATCACAGTAACACTTATTGAAAGTCATTTTTTACTTTTACCACTGGTTCCAAAAAAAACCTCTGTCTTGGTAAAAACCAGTAAGAAACCCAGCGGGACTTTTAAAACTAATTTTATTCAATCTGACGCTTTCTCGAAAAGATTTCGTCGCTGAAACAATGGGTCGTCATTTATTATGGAACTTACTATTAACGTAATGTTTGCCTTTCAACAACTGCCAGTTTCAGGTTGGGAACAGTGACAAATTCTATTCATCAGTCAAGAGTGGGGGATAAACATTTACCAGATTTATCAAATGCTGAAAAACTTTTAAGTATATCGTTTGTCCTTATGCGAGTTTTAAATTAGTCTCAATATAACTTAACATAAATGATATTAATATATGTAATATTAACTTAAAATTATATTAATGTAGTGTAAGGTGTTTTTATTTAATAACATTTATTCCTAGTTAAACTGTACCTTATCCGAAATTAGTGGCGTAATATAGCAATATTAGGACGTGTAACGGAGGGGAATATAATGTCATATTTTGATCCAAATGCCAAACTCACGATTTATAATCAAGGTATCCGTCTAATTGCGAGAAGTCTTCATTTTACTTCTCGCCATTTTACTGGAGACAGTATTACATGTGCAGTAGAAATGCGTGCAGTTGAACTTAAGCAAATTACTACGCGATGAAAATTTGTTAAATATTTTTGTGTTATTAAAACACACATCATATGATAAATTACAGATGTATCATTTCCAAGATTATTAATATATGTATTAAATTCATATTGATCATATCTACATAAAAAATCGCTACTGTAGTCGTCGCATTTTCTTATAATCGTCTTCCTCTTCCTCTACAGCCTATCGCAATCTTATCCACTGATGGATTTACTCCTTGTCAATAACGCAGTAATAGTGATTTATAAATTGAATAATTTGATCATACCACATCACTATTTTTTTTTAAATTTGACGTTTAGAAACATTACATATTCTCCTTCTTTTTACGCTTTACGTACATAAAGCATCATATACTCAGACCCAGAGCATCATATACTCGAATATTCTTACAGTATAATTTTATTAAGTAAGTATATAAGTCATCCAAAGGAATCCTATGTATTTTCTTCTTATTTTATATACTTACAATTCAGATTTCGCTAGCACATTTTAGAAAATAATCTATGTAGGTTGCCGTTTTTGTACTATATATAGTCGATATACTTTGCTAGATCGTTGTACGGGTATTCAAATTTTCTTTCTCATTTACCTTATACCTTTAAAATAATATAATATTTTGTATTTAGAACTCATTTTAATCCAATGCAGAAGTGACTATGTATTGTTATTCATTGAATTGAATCGAGTTTAAATGAAATAATTAATACGTGGTAGAGCCATGCTGCAGCTTACAGCATGCTGTAGTACATGGGTCGGCTCGACCGGGGAAGGACCACGCTCTCACAGAATACCAGCGTAAAATAGCAGCTTACACTGCTGTATTTCGTATGGTGAGTGTAGAGAACCGGAGACCCATTTTACTGGAAAAGAGGCATTCCATCTTAGTCCTCACGGGTGACAACGCATCTATCTGCATTTTGATTCCCAAACGAGGATAGATGTAGATGTCTATGGGCCACAGCAACCACTTACCATTAGGTGGACTGTGTGCTTGTTTTTCACCCTATCCTATAAAATAAAAACCTTAATTGAATCTTATTTATAAAAATTAATTTTTGTGTGTTCGTATTTTATTCGATGTCATACCGTTCATCAGATTACAGAGAACTTTGTCAACTTATTGTTTGCACTTGCGTGAAGGTTATAGGTATAGTGCAATTAAATTACAGTAGGTGACAAGCGTGTCGTACCGAGAAAGTTATATATCATTCCTAATTTAACAATACAAATGTTCCAAATTGAAAACGAAATTATTTCTTCTGTGGCAGTATCAGTATCAGCCCAGGGTACCAGATATATCATTATAAAATTAAAAAATATAAAATAAATAAGTGATGGTAAAACCTCCAAGGAGAGTTATTAAAATATGTATATCCAATTTTTCTATTCTCCTCTGAAATATATATATATATATATATATGCCGTGTAGTGGCGATGAAGAATATCCACTACCCCATATCTTCCCGTGAGTGTCGTTAAAGGCGACAAAGGGAAACAGGCAGGAGATGGGCAGTAGCATCTTCATGATAAAAGCAAAATTACAATAAAAAACTGCGAATGCCAACCCGCTCGCCAACCGTGACAACAATGGCAAACACCCCCCTATGATGAAAGTAACAAAGAGACGGTCCCCAGTCCCTGGCGGCCCCGATATTCCTGGCTACAGTGGCGACCATGGTAACGGTGGGGCAGGGGGTGCTAAGAATCTCCGGTGGAGGTTCTGTTGCCACCTAAGACGACTTGACCTGGCAACATACAACGCACGCACCCTGAGGACTGACGAGAAGATTGTGGAGCTGGAAGAATAGATAGACAAGTTACGCTGGCATATTATAGGATTATCCGAGGTCCAAAGAGAGGGGGAGGACACGGTAATCCTCGAATCCGGCAACTTGCTCAATCACCGGGAGGGCGACCATCTGTCCCAAGGAAGTGTCAGATTTATCGTCCACAAGTATCTCGTTAACAACGTTGTAAAGATTCAGAGTGTGTCGACGAGGGTTGTGTACCTTATACTCAGAATCACCAAACGGTATTCGCTGAAGGTCATACAGGTTAACGCACCAACCTCGACTCATCCCGATGGGGAGGTGGAGGAAATGTATGAGGCTATCTCTAGAGCCATGCATTCCACCAAAACCCACTATACGGTGTTAATGGGAGACTTCAATGCAAAACTAAGCACAAGAGAGGACGGTGAGCTGAAAGTAGGGAAATTTTGAATAGGGCAACGGAACCCAAGGGGCCAGCAGCTGGTCAACTTCATGGAGAAAGAGGGACTCTTTATGATGAACTCTTTCTTCCAGAAGCGGCCCCACAGGAAGGGGATCTGGTCGAGCCCCGACGGTTCGATAAAAAATGAGATTGACTTCATTAGGACAACCAGACGACAACTGTTCAGTAATGTCTCCGTGATCGCGAGGGTGAAAACTGGTAGCAAACTCACGAATGGTCACGAATACTCTTATTATTAACTTTTCGCTGGACTCAGGTCAGTAAGGCTTTCATACGCCCTTTTCCCAAAATATCGAATCCCACATTACCTAATCACCTTCGTCCGATATCTATTTTGCCCTTTCTATCCAAAGTTCTGGAAGGCTGCGTACATAAGCAAGTCTCCAATTTTGTACTTAAACATAATCTACTCAGCGATTATCAGTCTGCGTTTCGTCTTGGTCACAGCAACACTACAGCATTACTCAAAGTTACGGAAGACATCAGACAAGGTATGGAGAAGAAGAAAGTGACTGTAATGGTGCTTGTTGACTTTTCTAATGCTTTTAACGCAGTGGACCATGATGTCATTTTATCTATCCTGTCCTATTTAAGATTTTCACCCTCAGTCTTGGATTGGTTCTCTCCATATCTTCGCGGCCGTCAGCATTCTGTCCATTTAGGACAGAAGAGTTCCAAGTGCGCTTGTCTTGATGCTGGCGTCCCGCAAGGCGGTATACTTTCTCCATTAATTTTCTCAGTTTGTATAAACTTGGTCACATCTATTCTTAACTGTTCGTACCATCTGGATGCTGACGACCTCCAAATTTACTTGAACTCATCTATTGAAGAGCTCCATGACGCTATTAGAATGTTTAATCTGAACTTGGAAGCTATTAAAGAATGGTCTAGGCGTTTTGGAATATCAGTTAATCCAACGAAGTGTCAAGCTATAATCATAGGTACCTCGAGAATGTTGTCAAAAATTGATGTGACAAGCCTACCTGCTTTCTATTACAACGACATACTGATACCGTTCTCTTCCTCTTTAAAAAATCTTGGCCTGTATATGGATAACACAATGAACTGGTGTACGCATGTCACTGAAATTAGCTGCAAAGTCTTTGCCACCTTACGATCCCTCTATCGTCTGAAGAACTTTCTTCCAATCAAGACTAAGCTAACACTTGTGCAAACACTTATAATACCCATTAATGATTATGCAGATGTGTGCTACCCAGATGTGAACCAAAATCTTCTTAATAAGCTAGAGCAGGTGTTCCCAAAGTATTTTTCTACACGCCACCCTGCTGCCTAAAATAGAAATGCCCACGCCCCCCTTCACTTTGATGCAAGGAAGAGGAAATCAATGGGCTAGCTAAGTATCCCAATCGAACTAATAAAGTGAGTTTGTGTCGTTTTTTACACTATCATTAACTACTCAACATTTCGGGGTATAGGATAGGACATAAGGTACCTTTTATATAAAAAAAAGTATTGTTCCCGTAAGATAGAAATTGATTGACAAAATCTATATTAACGCGAGCAATGCCTCGGGAAAAGGCTAGTTTTAAAGTAAAAGGATAATGAATAATAAACAGGGGTAAAAAACCATAATCAAATATTTTTATTAATATTGTTGTGACAAGAAAAACAAAGAAATACATAATCGTCACGGTCAGTGAGATGGATGGGCTTGCAAATTTTTAACAATGTTTTCAATTCTGGGTTGAATAGAAGAAAGAGCACAACGTAGATCACTAGTGATATCGAGTTTGTTTCTGTATTTGGTTTTTATGACCACTACTGCTGAAAATGCCCTTTCGCATAAATAAGTACTCGAAAATGGTAAAAACAGTTTCAGTGATTCTTTTGCTATTTTGGGATAAACTTTGAGATATTTTACCCAAAATAATGTCTTATCCATCTTCTCAAAATCATATTTGGCAGCTGAATCATTTTTCATTTCTAAAGCTTGTTCTTGAAGTAGCTCTGGCAGCACGTCTATGTCAACGTGAAAAGAATCCGTCGCCAATCGATAAATATTGTCATCACACAAGTTTGGGAAGTAGCGCTTGAATTCATCACTGAGGTGCTACAAGTGGTTGGATATTTCGGTCTTAGTGTCGGTTTCGCAAAAAAACTCCATAAAACATTTGTCCTCTGTGATTGCATATAATTTAGGAAAGCACGAATAATTGTCTGCTAAAATCTTACGTTTCCACAATAGCAACTTCTCAGTAAACGCTGTGATAGCATCTCGGTGATTAATTATATTTGAATCTCCTCCTTGCAGTTTTAAGTTTGATGAGTTTAATGAATCGAACATATCCGTTAAATAAGCAAATACCACTTGAACTTTTGGCTTTCTGAATTCTACAAATAATTCACTTTGTTTTTGATTATCCAAGAACTGAATAACTTCATCTCGAAGCTCATATAACCTAGTCAGCATATTTCCTTTTGAGAGCCAGCGCACCTCAGTATGAAATAACATAGTCTTATGTTCTGTACCCAAATCTTCACAAAGAGCCCTAAAAAGTCTAGTATTCAAAGCACTCTTTTTAACATAATTGACAATTTATGCATAATGTTAAAATAGCGTTGAATTCATTTGAAAGTGTCTTGGCCGCCAGGGCTTGACGGTGTATGAAACAGTGAATAGCAATAACATTAGGATTTTTTTCTCTCACCAATTTTACGAAACCTGAGCGAGACCCAAGCATTGTCGGTGCACCATCTGTGCAAACACCCATTAACTTTTGCCACGACAGTTCGTGTTTCGCAAAAAAATCAGAAACTGTTGACAATTCGTCTTTTATTGTTTCGTTTTGCATGTATCGAACGAAAACTAAAAGTTGACAACATTGTGCTATATCGGTACTCTCATCCAACTGTATTGCATAAAATGTTGATTCTTTCACGGCCTCTACTACTTGTTTTTTTTTTTAATATCTTCAGCCATATCATCAATGCGACGTTTGACAGTATTGTCAGAGAGGGGTATCTGCGAAAATTTTTGTTTAATTTCTGGTCCCACAATGATATCAGCTGCTTTTAACAAGCAATGTTTAAAAAGTGATTCTCCGATAGTATGACTTTTCTTTGCCTTTGCGATGATAAGCGATAGTTCATAAGAAGCTTGAAGCACTTTCTCGGACGATTTCGCAAAAGATCCAGTACTATCCAATTTCATACGTTTCAAGCTCGCAGATTTTGATGCCTAAACTTCCTTTAAACTGCTATGTTTTGTTGACAAATGTCGTTCCAGACGAGAGGGTCTCATGGCGTCATTGCTCAATACCTCATAACAAATAACACACTGCGGATGATCGATATCACCTTTTTTTATAACAACAAAACCGTATTTAATATAATCATCATTATATTTACGTTTTTTGGCCGAACTCATGACGAAACAAAAGGTATAAACTTAACTTTATTTTTGCGACAAAAAAACACGTGTAATGTTTACAAGGCGAACAATACTGACCAACTGGCGGGGGTGGTGGTATGCGTTTGTCCCGCGGCTCTGCGCCCCCCTTTACATGTTGTCACGCCCCACTAGGGGGGCGCGCCCCTCAATTTGAAAAGCAATGAGCTAGAGCGTCTAGCTTATTAAGAAGTAAAGTATAGCTGTATTAGATATATATTTGATCTTCGAAAATATGATCATATCTCTCATTATCGTGAACGTCTGAAATGGCTCACTATCCAACAAAGACGAAACTCTAGAATTTGGTTTGTTCTTTTCTCAATTTTGAATAATCTAACTTCTCCAACATATCCGAAGGACAAATTCCAATATCTCTTTTCAACTCATGATAAGGTTCTTCGCTCCTCATCTAATCATAAGATCAGTATTCCATCTCATTTCACTGGATTCACCAACAATTCCTTTACTATTCAGGCAACACTACTCTGGAACTCCTTGCCCGAAAACATAAGAAGAGCGCCAAGTAAGGATTGTTTTAAAAAGTTGGTACACGACTTTTCTTTTAAATCGAAGTGATGTTGGATGTTAAGAATGATGATGATAATTTTGACACATTTAGATGTTTTATTATTTGTAATTTCAATATATGTATTTTATTATCATATGTAACGTATATATTATATCTATGTATGATACATATTTTGTTCATATATTTACATGTGTAAAGTTTTTGTATATTATATATATATATATATATATATATATATATATATGTGTGTGTGTGTGTGTGTGTGTGTGTGTGTGTGTGTGTGTGTGTGTGTATTTGCACCTACCACAAAATCTCATCACTCCACGGGTTGACTGGCAAAGAATGCCGCTAGGCATTAAGTCCGCCCTTTGTTACCCTTGTTATTAAGGTGTCAACAAAAAAGATTAAATAAATAAAAAATATATAAATGTCTCGCTACTGTCTGCACCTAGTTAAAGTGATTATTTTGTAAACAGCTAACAATTAATCCATAAATTTAGTGATAAGCCTGATAACAATATTTGCTACGAGTTTTTGGCTAGGCGTTTTTGTTACTGTGTTCATTCATATGTCCTTTGCATTGTATTCAGTTTTTTGCCAGTTTATTGGCCCCCCGCATGATGTTCGTGACACTAGCAGCACCGATTGTAGTACATCACCATTTACATGGTACAACCCTATTGTAACCTTATATAAAGCTGTCAACTCGAAATTTCTTTTTCTTCTATTGGCGAGGCGTGTGTAGTACAGACGCAATTATACATAATTTGTGCAGTTTATAAAATATACAATAAAACAATTAAATAAATTGTTTTAACGTAATATAACCACCACAACTGGGGCAGACCCTAACACTTTCAAACGTTGCTGGAGCATTGCACAATCCAAACGGCATGACTTTAACTTACCACAGACCATTTCCTGTGGAGAATTCAGTTTTCTCCTTGTCCTTATGGTCAATTTCGACCTGACAATAGCTATTTTTTAGGTCCAACGTACTAAACCACTTTACGCCTGCAAGCATGTCCATATTTAATATGTATATTTATTACATTATAATTGTAACACGAATGGGTCGGCTCGACCGGGGAAGGACCACGCTCTCACAGAATACCAGCGTAAAATAGCAGCTTAATGCTGCTGTGTTTCGAATGGTGAGTGTAGAGAACCGGAGACCCTTTTAACTGGAAGCGAGGCATTCCATCTTAGTCCTCACGGATGACAACGCATCAGCATTTTGATTCGTAAGCGAGGATAAATGTTGATGTCTATGGGCCACAGCAACCACTTACCATCAGGTGGACTGTGTGCTCGTTTGTCACCCTTATCCTATAAAAAATGTACACTAAAATACACTCTTACGCACGAGGACCAAAATGCTTAAAACTCCCTCTTATCTTATTAGAAACTTGTTGCATCAAATTAAAGGTACAAGAATTTAAATTTAAAACGAGATTATACCTCTGGCTTTGCATATAAACTAAGAGATCTGTAATTTGTATAAAGTTAAAATCTTTAACAGTGAGTTGTAGTGAGGGTCGAAAGACATCTTGTAGACTTTTATGGTCTAATATAAAAATGAAGGCGTGCAACCTTTAAGTGTGGTTGAAGTAAAACGTAATAATATTAATAATAATTTGTGATTATTTGTTGTTGTTATGCTTGTATTTATTTTGATTATTATTATTACTTTGTTACTTTATTAAGTAATAATTATTATATACAAAAAAAAACCAGAATTATATTCATGTCAGGTGTATAATGTCTGAATATTGTTTATTATAATTATGTGTATATGCCTTTTAATACCTTTTAATAGCAATGTAGAGAGGTTAAAAATTCGTTATAAGTGAAATGTATAAAAGCTGCAGGTATTACCAATAAAGAGAATAAATTAAATAAGTTGTATATGTTACAGTCAAAACTGCTTCTCGAACAAAGTGCTTAATATTGACTGTAGCCTACGGGCAAAAAAGATTTTGTTAAAAAGTAATCTGACGAAAAACTAGTTTAGCCTAGGAAAGACTAGTTTATACTATAATCGATTGGAAATGAACGTTTTCTAAAATATCAAATACTTATTCTAAACAAAATATTCTTAATCAAAAACGATTTAACCACGTGCCTTGCTTAAAATTACTTTTATTCGATATATTACAAACCATACCAAATCTCTAATATGCAATATGTTTTGCTGGCGAAACTACCTCTAATCAAAATGTTTAGTCTGTTAATCAAAATAACCTTAGTTCTTAAAGACTCTGCTATTCCTAACTCTGAAGACGTTATGCAAATGGCGAGGCATGGGGTGTGAAAGATCTCCGTTGGATGACTTTCGAATGCCACCAATGAAAATTGAACTTGGCAACGCAGTACAAACATTGAAGTCAGAAGGATTCTGAAGCTAAAAAAGAGATAGGCATATTCCACTGAGATATTATAGGATAAAATCAAAAATAGGGGAGAATACAAAATTTGCTTATCCGGTGACTTGTTTACCACCGAGAATATGACATCGTTGGAGCCACACATCGTTGGAGCCACACGCAAGTGTGAGTAACGATCCAAGAGCGAGTCTCATCCGACACTATTCCGAAGATATCCCGGACGTCAGTCTGAGCGAGATTAGAATGGCTCTCCAGCACCGTAAAAACGGTAAGGCCCCAGGCAAGGATGGAATTACAGCGGAGCTTCAGAAAGCGGGTGGAAAACCGGTACTTGAAGTCCTTCAGAAGCTCTTTAATTCCGTCCTCCATGGTGGCATTACACCGGAGGCGTGGAGCAGAAGTGCGGTGGTCTTGTTCTTCAAGAAAGGTGACAACGCTCTCTTGAAGAACTACAGACCGATTTCCCTTCTGAGCCGCGTTTACGTGCTGTTTTCGAGAGTCATTACGAATCGTCTCGCACGCAGACTTGACGACTTCCAGCCTCCCGAACAAGACGGTTTCCCAAAGGGCTTTAGCACCATAGACCACATACATACCCTTCGGCAAATTGTACAGAAGTCCGAAGAGTACAATTTGCCCTTATGTCTGGCGTATGTGGACTATGAGAAAGCCTTTGATTCCGTCGAAATTTGTGCGGTGCTGCAGTCCCTTCAGCGCTGCCAAGTTAACTGTCGGTATATCGAAGTATTGAAGTGCTTGTACAGTAGTGTTATCCGAGTACAGAACCAGAGTACGAAACCTATCCAATTGCAGAGAGGTGTAAGACAGGGTGACGTCATATCCCCGAAACTCTTCACTGCTGCATTGGAAGACGTTTTCAAGCTACTGGACTGGAAAGGATACAGTATCAACATCAATGGCGAGTACATCACTCACCTTCGATTTGCCGACGATATAGTCCTTATGGCAGAATCGCTGGAGGACCTAAGCACTATGCTCAATGACCTCAATAGTGTTTCCCAACGGATAGGTCTTAAGATGAACATGGACAAAACAAAGATCATGTTTAATGTCCATGTCACACCTATGCCGATAGTTGTTGGGAACACTAAGCTCGAAGTTGTTGACGAGTATGTTTACCTGGGACAAATTGTCCGACTAGGTAAGTCTAACTTCGAACGAGAGGTCAATCGACGGATTCAACTCGGCTGGGCAGCGTTCGGGAAGCTACGACACATCTTCTCGTCAGACATACCTCAAAACCTTAAAACGAAATTGTACAACCAGTGCGTGTTGCCAGTGATGACTTACGGAACTGAGACGTGGTCCTTTACTGCTGGCCGTATGAGAAAGTTCAAGGTCGCTCAGCGAGCTATGGAGAGGGCTATGCTCGGAGTTTCTCTGCGTGATAAACTTAGGAATGAGGATATCCGCAGTAGAACCAGAGTAACCGACAAAGCCCAACGGATTAGTAAGCTGAAGTGGCAGTGGGCCGGCCATATAGCTCGAAGAACCGGCAACCGATGGGGAAGAATGGTTCTCGAGTGGAGGCCTTGTACCGGTAGGTGAAGTGTAGGGCATCCCCCCACGAGATGGAGTGATGACCTGGTAAGACATGCAGGAAGTCTATGGATCCAGGTGGCTCAGGACCGTGCTTTGTAGTATTCTTTGGGGGAGGCCTATGTTCAGCAGTGGACTTGTGAAGGGCTGTAATGATGATGATGATGAGAATATGACTACTCTAAGGTCTGGGATATATTGTTTACAAGTCTCGCCATCAACGTTTTAAAAAATCAGTATATGTCAACGAGGGAGGTGTACTACACAGAACAGACCTCTTTTATCTGTTCTGTGGATTACAATACACTCAAAATTACCAAAGGATATCTGCTCAAAGATCAAACAAAACTAATACACTTTGGCAAACCTGCGGAGGCAAAAAGATTGAGCTAGACTGAAGGCATGGGCCAGAAATGATGTGATTTCCTTCTTCAAAAAGTTAATAAAATCTATATATAGCCTTAGAAAGGCGTAAGTACCATAGATCATACAATAAATTATATCAGTATTTCTTAAAATTTATTAACCGTATTTACTTTGTGATGCGCGATAAAATAGCGGAATCTGTTAAAAGTGAAAATTAAATGTACTATTTCAGTTAAAAAGAAAAAAAAACAGCATATATATATATAATCAGTACCCAAAACTATAGAAATAAGTTTTTTTTTAAAAACACGACCATATTTTTTTTACAAAAAAAATTTATGTGGTTTTATTACCTCTTACTGTCACTAGCCGATGCTAAAGCTAAGTAAAGCGGGGTCTTTCACAATCCTCTTACTCCCCAGACAATGCAGAGGTAATAAACTACATACAATTTGCATACAATTTTTTTTAAATAAAATAAAAAAATATATATGTCGAGTTTTTAAAAAACAGTTATTTCTATACGTTTGAATAATGATCCTGATAACGTAATTAACGGGAACCACAGGGTTTTTGTTACATATTGTATATACCTAGTCAGGTCATAAGAATTGTCACACAGTAAAAACTTTTCTTTTAGAATGCTGGTCACAAAAAAGTTTATTGAATTCGAATTTCGAATTGTTCATGAAAATAAAACTGTATACTTTATAGAATTTCACTCATTTTTAAATATGGAGTGGACGCTTAAAGGAGACCGTGTTGCAGTTATTGCGTTGCATCGTTGCGGTTACGCGCCAATTCAAATTTTTGACATACTGAAAAATTTGAATATAACCAAAAGATTCGTTTATCGTACCATCAAACGATACAATGACGACTCTAGTGTAGATGACAGGTCAAGAAGTGGTCACCCTCGGTCTGTTAGGACTCTAGCAGTGATAAAAGCTGTGAAGGCGCGAATTCAAAGAAATCCCAAACGTAAGCAGAAACTGTTGGCCCTTCAGATGGGGTTAAGCAGAACCACGGTGAAAAGGGTGTTAAATGAAGACTTAGGGCTTCGGGAATATCGAATAAAAACAGGACATCATTTGAATGCTCCTCTAATGGACCTGAGACTGAAGAGATGCCGCGCTTTGTTGAAGCGGTACGCGGGAAAAAAATATCGGGAAATTCTTTTTTCGGATGAAAAAATTTTTACCGTAGAAGAGAGCTACAACAAACAAAATGATAAGGTGTACGCACACAGTAGTGAAGAAGCGAGCAACCGTATTCCGCTTGTCCAACGAGGTCATTTTCCATCCTCGCTCATGGTATGGTTGGGAGTTTCTTATTGGGGCTTAACAGAGGTACATTTTTGTGAGAAAGGTGTGAAAACGAATGCAGTTGTATATCAAAATACAGTCCTGACGAACCTTGTGGAACCTGTTTCTCATCCCATGTTCAATAACAGGCACTGGGTATTCCAACAAGATTCGGCGCCAGCTCATAGAGCGAAGAGCACACAAGATTGGCTGGCGGCGCGTGAAATCGACTTCATCCGGCACGAAGACTGGCCCTCCTCCAGTCCATATTTGAATCCGTTACATTACAAGATATGGCAACACTTGGAGGAAAAGGCGTGCTCAAAGCCTCATCCCAATTTGGAGTCACTCAAGACATCCTTGATTAAGGCAGCCGCCGATATTGACATGGACCTCGTTCGTGCTGCAATTGACGACTGGCCGCGCAGATTGAAGGCCTGTATTCAAAATCACGGAGGTCATTTTGAATAAACTTTACTGTCAAAAGAATCTGTGTTTTGTTAAGTTCATTTTGGTATATAAATGGTTACATAATGAATAAACTTGTTACAATTATTTTATATTAAAAATGTGACAGAATTTATGACCTGACTATGTATATATATATGTCCCAGTGCTCAGGTTTATTATTAATTATCGATTTATTATCGTTATATTCACTTTAAAATATTAGAATTTCGGTGGACGCTAAGTTTTAAGGCCATTTAATAGCATGGTGTGTCTTATCGCTATCTTCGAGTAAAAAGACGTCCTTCAAGCACTAAAGCGGGGAGAATTTTTAAAATAACAACGTACGTCCAACCTCGAAAACCATTGAAATAGCCTTAAGGTCAAAAATCTAGACTCACTCAACGAGGCAGGCGCAAGCACTTAAACTGCTTTTTTTATAAGATAGATTTAAAAACGAATTTTATATTTTTTTAATAGAATAAAGGTCACAAGCAAACACACAATCTAATGTTAGGTTAACACTGCGCCGCAATTGGGCTACGGCCTATCGAGATCTATATGTATCCTCAATCAAGAATCAAAATGTAGATGCGCTGTCATTGATATCCGCTGTAGAAATATACTGCTTTTTTATTAATGTAGTACTCAGTGAAGTAAATTTTCTTAGAATAATTGATCTCTTTTGATAATTAGCTGAATGACATTAAAGGTGGTTGTATTTTTCAATATATGTATTTTACATTAATGTTATTTAACATCATACATATTTTTCATTCTGCTTTCGAAAATATCCAATTTTTGTTCTATTTTTTGACAGTCATTATGAAACAGTAAAGCTTTCATTTTATTTTCTTGAAAAGGCTGATGATTTTGATGATGTAAGCCAAAAGCATGCATCGTGGCATGAGCAACTTCTGCAGGAAGTGTGCAAAGTGGAGTTATAAGCACCAGCTAAAAAGGAAATATATTATAATGAGACTTTGATTATAATATTATTATAACACATACTTAATAATAAAAATTATACTTTATAAGCCTCTACTAAATTTTTGTACTTAAAATGAAAAGTGTTGAACAAAAACAAATCGTTCCGACTTAAAAAATAAAAACTATATTTAAATAATTTAAGTGCTCTATTAGAGCTATATTTTCTCATTATTTTTATTACGCAAATGTAGGCCTAGCTACTGTACTAGCGACCCGTTAGTCAATGTCTGCTGAGCTAGAATTTTTCACTAGAATTAAGGAATCTATAATGATTAAAGCCAGGACGAAAGTTTTATATAATGTCCAAAAATTAATTAAGCAAATTGTTACACTACCCTCACGATTTTTTTTTACCACCGAGCATGTCGTGCTTTAGATCTTCAAGTTAAAATTAAAAAAAAAAATTAAACTTAAATAGATTTTCAAATCTAAATAAGGTTAAATTCATTTACATGTGGCTCCTGAAGTTGCTACTAGGACATAGTGTATCGAAAAAAAAATAGGGAATTATTTTGCTTTCGAATTATTTCAGTCATTTTAGTTTTTGAACTCTGATTTTAATTTAAATAAAAGTTTAATTTTTACTACCCGTTTGAAAGGTCGCGGCGGCTCGTAATATTAATTATAATGTTGAATCGAATATGTTCTTTCTTTTATTCTTCAGTCAGTAAAAGCCCACTTTTGGACATGGGCCTCTTCCGCTGTAAGCCCGTATCCAGCAGTTTACATCCTTTTTTTAGGAAAAGTATGTAAAAAAATAATAATATTTTGTCTTTACTGATAAGCTCTAAAAGTATAAGAAGAATTTTATAACATAATATGTATCACATATGACATAGGATACTACATATGACTTATATAATCGTACAAATGTAATCGTAATAAAAAGAAAATAATATTTCCTAGGAAATTTTCAATTCAATTCAAGGAATCTCATATATATATAACTTCTCTTAGCTATTAAACAAAAATTGTGGTCTCAAATATTAGTTGTAAATTTTAACAAACATATCTAAATTAATTTTGTCACTGAGTACGAAATGTAGTCAAGGACATTAGTCAATCTTTATTAAGAATTTCGCTCAACCTAGTTAGGAGTCGTATACTATTTTCATAGTTCCATATCTGTCATAATTAGTAACACGGAGCTCTATGAAAATTAGAGAAATAATGGAATAAGTATCTACCCGTCCATCAGTCTTTTGCATCACGATCTATTTTCTTAAATTAATTGCTGTAATAACTTGAAATATGTTTCAAAAAGATTGAGTGCGATGTCTCAATTATAAACGTATACCATTGTGGAAGATAAAGTCTTTAATTTGTTACAAATTTTGCTGTTTGCATGTTTCTTAAATAATTGTCAAATAAATACACTTCAAAACGTATATATATATATATATCATTACAGCCCTTCACAAGTCCACTGCTGAACATAGGCCTCCCCCAAGGAATGCCACAAAGCACGGTTTTGAGCCACCTGCATCCATCGACTTCCTGCATATCTTACCAGGGCGTCCCCCCCTAGTAAGAGTGACGACCTGATAAGATTATATATATATATATATATATATATATATAAAAACATGAAAAGCAGAAAGAGGATTTGCAATCAAGCAATGTTTTCAACTTCGCGGGATGACTGCTGGATAGGTGCAGATTTCGCGGGATGATGCGAGATTCCACGTAGCTTTTACTTGTTATGTTGTTAACACATATAAGGTTATTACACCTATTACCTATAGTCATTAACAAAATTATTTCCGATTTTGATTTCTTTTAGTTTAACTGCAAATTGCTTTAAGTTCTTACACAATTACTATAAATTTATTACGAGTATATTTTTAAATGCTTATTACATTAAGCGGCTTTATCTAACTAGTCTATACCTACTCACGTTATTATAATTAATCATAATTGCACCTAATGTAAATAAAAAATATCATTAATATCTATACAAATTGGATTTGATATTTCCATTTAACTACTTACCCTAAACTACAAACCCTGCTTACTGTCATGACCCTAATTACACGATAACAACAAAGTATGCAAATCACTACCCATCTCAATGTAACACAGGGCAGCCTCTCAGTAACACGACCTTCCTTTCCTACACTAGTAGAATACCCGCACGGGCATAGTAACGACAGTGGGACTCTTAGAATTACAGACTGATGCCTCTTAGTCGCCTGTGCGATACTTTATACTGCTAAAACAAGTGGGAGATTACCATTCTACCTTCACTTGTTCGTATTTCCTTTTATTTTTTCCCTCATTCCCAACATGGCCTCTTGGCATGGGGAATGCAGGCATCACGTAGGTCACAGGCGACATGCTTGGAAATGGCTCTACGTTAGCACAAAGTATCTTCAAAGTAAAGTTATAGTTCGCATAAGTTATCGTTCGCATAACTCAACACAAGTGGTAAAGTTAAAGAGTTTGTACAACCGATTTCAATATAAATAAAAAATGAGAATTAAAAGTCAATTAAGTACGCATTATTAAGAATAACTCATGAAAAGCACCAGCTTTAAAAAAAAGAATTATCAAAATCGGCTCATCAAAAAAGGCAACTGTTTAAAATATCACACAAATTGCAATCGTCATTAAGTCGTCTCGGTCGGATCCGCGTGACTTGGCTCACCACTCCCAACGAAAACTAAGCAAGCTCATGTCGGACTTGCTCCGACTAAAACCCTGTGGTGTTGCACCTTCGTCGCATATTGGCGGGGCCACTGAAAGGCTTTCGCACAGATCCGCGACCCCGCCAGCGCCTGCCCCAACTCCGTCTCATGTAAGGCGCACCAGATCACATGGCTCGCGTTCCCCTCGAGGTTACAACCTCTAACTTCACCTACGCAAAGGACGCCCCCGTGTCCGATGCACGTAGGTCATGGGGCTAGTTTAATACGAGCACTCAAAAATACTAGCCTTCCTGACCCCAGCGCGGATCTGGTCTATGGCTCCACAGCCAACCAAGATTCGGCTGCGGAAGGCAGCACATCAACGGTGTCTGGTTGTCAGAGTCGCGGAGGATAGGGCGAGTGGCACATTGCTATACCAACACTCCTCTTCCTCCGCGACTCCACCTTGCCTGCAGTTGTAGAGGGAGAGAACACCCCTCTCGCCGCAGCCCACAAACACACATGCAAAGTGGGCATGGCAAGCCCACTCGGAGTGGCCACCTCGGGCTAGTAATGTGGGTTCCTCTTTGTTCACCGCGTGTGACCAAGCCATGGCTACTAAAATTCAAAATGTTATCCTTGGATAAACGTAGGGAGCTAACAGACTTGTTTGTATAGAAAATTTTCAACAATAAAACTAATTGGCCTCGGTTACTGAACACGTTTGAATTTAACGCTTTTTCATGATCCGATCATCTGATAATACCATTGAGACCACCAACACACATAGTCGTTTTTGTCTACCAACTCTCCATTACTCAGACTGTGTAAGTTGCTAAATAGCTGCAAACAAATAGTTGTTTTAAACGCTAACAGTTTCTGTAAAAATATTGTCGACAGCTTGAGTATTCTATAATCTATTCTTTAACTATACGGATGAACTAAGTTCTTTTAAAATTGTTAACTTCATTTAACGAAACTAAAACCTTACTTCAAATAATTGATATAGTGCATGCTATGTTTACTAGTAAGTGGTCACTACCTATTCTGTGGAAGTTGACTGTTAGTAAGGCATATAAATAAAATAAAATATGTTTTGAAGCGATTTACGTTTAAAGCATGTTGCTGGTTATGAAATAACTTGTTTGACCAAAGATGACAATCACCTAGTTAAAGGCAAAGTAAAGTAGAAATATAAAAAAAATGTTGACGTTTTTCAGGAAGATGTGATGAAAATATGTATGGTAACATTAATGTTGATGTCAAGAATATTAGTAAATTATTTAATAAAATTAAGTTTACCCTTCTTCCATATCGCTTTTTAAAAAAGGGAAGACAACAGTCCTCTAATACTCCCGAATAACTGAAGTAGATATACGTAAAATTCTTCAATTCTGCTAATTCTCTTGGGTCATATTCTTCGAAAGTTAAACAAGAGCGTTCTTCTATATAGCTTAGCCCCTTTTTAACCAGACTTATCAAACGCTTAGAACCTAAACACAATGCAGCAAATTATAATACTGTTCTCATATGAAAAATACACAACTCTTTCACTCTTTCACTAGCCCGTCATCAGCCATCAACTGAGAATAGGACTACTCACAGAAGAGAGGATTTGCTTTAGCCGCCACGCTTAACAAGAAAATAGAGGTGGAGTTCCTCTCGTCTCGCACCTTTTTTTCTCTGTTTCCCATCACCGATCTTGGAAATTTATATTATCTACTATACAATATTGTTATATCTATGGTATGTTATAAGATTTTCTCCGGCTTCACTTAAGTGGCCTCTTATAACACCTACGGAAATAAATGTTTATCTTATTCCGTCACTACCCAGCATAAAAGATTTAATAATTACGTCAGTAAAATATTAAGAAAAAAAAACATAATTTATAAGCATCTTTGAAAATATTTATTTCATTAAAATTCGAACCGTAATGTTAAATGAAAAAATTTAATTTACGTATTTATCTAATATATTTAATAAAAACGTTTTGTAAAAAATTTAGAACAAGAAAATATAATTGTCAGTTAGTATCGGTGAATATTTAATACAATATTTGCAAATTTGTTATTTTAACGAATTCTGATGGATCTGTTATCTAAGTTCAAATTAGAATATACCAAACAAGAAGAAATACAATCTTTGCCTATTGCATAATTTATAGTAGTAGTATTAGGTAGGCAGAAACTACTGGCTCCCATTTATTAATATCTTGACACACCGCTTTCGCTTCTTTTCCATCCATATACCTACGCATACACATGCTCGTCGGCTAAGGTTACTCTTAATTAGGCCCATCTTCAACCTATCACCAATTTGGTTGATAAACCGACTTTACCACACACTTATGCTACATAAATTTGCTTTGACATTACCGAAACATGTCTTTCTTAATCCGATTATAATAAGATTTTCTTGCAAACCAAACTTTTCTCTTATCACACAGTTTCTCACCCTATTCTTAAGAGTCAGACCTAACATACTTCTTAATGACCGCATTTCTATAGCATTCGTTTTAATTTCATACTTCTTCTGCCACACCCAACTTTTAATACCATAAGTACGTTAAGATAGGGTAAGTTCTGAGGTATAACTAAAGTCAAATGTAGATTTACACCACAAGGCAGGTTCTTAAACCAAAATGCTTAAAATGCGTTACTTTTACTCCGATTAGAAACCGCTTTATTAGGCACTGGAACATTGCGTATTATTACTTACTTCATAATTGTCTCAGAAATGGAAATTTATTAGTCGTAATAAATTGAAAGTTATGGTACAATATTTACCATACTTACATCGCTTGCCTATTAAATTATAGATTTTGTAATAATTTATTTTAGTGGTAAATTAATGCATTTCAAAAAGCATACTTGGTGAATAAAAGTTGAAAGTGTATGGAATGACGGCACTGTTCCAATTACTTGGCCAATTTTCTGGTAGCATTATATCTAAGGCTATAATAGAAATATTTTTAATGGTTAAAAATTTCCTGGATAAAATAAAATATAATATACATGGATCACATCTTCAAATCCTAGTGCAAAGGCTCTCGCAACAGGATTACAGTTATCTTAATCAAATCGAATACATTCTGGCTTCATTCACTTACATTTGCTCAACGAAATTAAAAAATGAAAGTAAACAGTTACAAAATTTAAACTATGAAAATGAACAGTTATTTTTTTTAAAATCTTCAAAATCATTACGATTCGATGAACTATATTACAGAAATTTGTTTAAAATTGTATCGAAAAATTGTTTAAAAGTCTATCAGCTGAAATGTAATCGGAAAGCCCATAAATGTTTATCGAAAACTATTGTAACCAACTTTTTTAAATTGAAATTCTGAGTTTATTGTTTTATATTAAAGATTTTATAATAAAAGAAAATATTATAAATTCAGTTTTTTTTCCTCTTATTTCTACCTAACCTAATTTTTCGTTATTTTGAGAGAAGTTCTTTTTTCTTGATACAACATAGGTATGAGAAAAACATTTGTGCGTAACTTACTGTGTTCCCAACTTCGCAATAACCACAATCTAGCCTTGACTAAAACATCCCCGGGCTTTGCTGCAACGTTGCTCAATGTTAAATAAAGTGCACATTCGTTCTTCAAATTTCCACCTATTCTTGGTAACGAAGAAATGAAGTACTTTGCTTCATCAACAATAGTAGCGGCCGTGGCACTCTTTTGCAGCAGTACAAGTTGATCGTGTGGGATAATCGCAAATGGTGCACAAGCGTGTGGTAGATAGCCTAGCCCTTAACTGTAGCCCGTAGGACATCCGTATATTGCTTGGAGGTGATTTTAGAAATATCTGCACTTCCTAGTTATTGAGAGAGCATAAAATGAACGCATTTCAATCATCTCAATTTTAAGGCTATAAAAAACCATTAGGCTTAAAAATAATAGACGTGTTAGTGGGTGATTAAATCAATTTCAGTTCATCGATAAATACTGTAATGCCAATAAATAAATGCGACAGTACTGCCTACCCAGTCTAGTTTTAACATCTTGAAATTAACGGGCGTTACCTTAAACTTACGGGCACAAAATAACGCTAAAAGTTGGCATCCCAATTTTGCCTTGGTGCAGCGATATTGCCTGCAGCAACTAAATGAGAGTAGGTTTCGACACCCCAAATTCCAATTAATCCCAAAATCAGTCTAATGTCTTATGTTTATAACGTATTTACTGCTTTATATTGTTTTGGAGGAAAGGAGACAATTTCGTTTTGTATGGAGAATGGGTCCACCACAAATTTTGGCGTAGCTCAATGAAATATATATCGATTGATTCCTTACAATCTATAAATTACAATATTATTATTAGTTTTACTGCATCTAACGGGAATAATGAGAAATTAAAAATTTAACTATGGATATCTCAATAATCTAAAAACAAACAAAAAGCGATTGGCTAGTAGCTTTCGCTGGTACTAATAGTTATAGTATTGTATGTAAAATTGTAGAAATTGTACATAGCCCAACGGATTAGTAAGCTGAAGTGGCAGTGGGCCGGCCATATAGCTCGAAGAACCGACAACCGATGGGGAAGAAAGGTTCTCGAGTGGCAGCCTCGTACCGGTAGGCGAAGTGTAGGGCGTCCCCCCACGAGATGGAGTGATGACCTGGTAAGACATGCAGGAAGTCGATGGATGCAGGTGGCTCAGGACCGTGCTTTGTGGCATTCTTTGGGGGAGGCCTATGTTCAGCAGTGGACTTGTGAAGGGCTGTAATGATGATGATGATGATGTAAAATTGTAGGTCAATTCAGCATTCATATTAAGTACTTTAAGATTGATGGAAAATCCTTTTAGTAGTTCCAATAAAACATAGTGCTCAGATAAACAAACGTAGCGTGGAGATTATTTTTTACATATCGACCCTTTGAGCAACAAATTTCGTAGAAACCAAAACGCCATTTTACAGGACGAGCGAAAAACCAAATCGTTGAGTTTATTTTCTGTATATTTTTTAAACATTAAAGCATTTACATGCCACTAACGCTTATTACGTTAAGGTTTTCGTGTTGCTTCATATTTAGGAACTTAAAAAAACGCTGCTTGAATAGTTCCAGAAATAGTCGGGGTATTACTACAAAAAAAGTTGTATCTGGCTTTAACGACGAATTTTTCAGAATTTATAACTCTAGTCTTTGGTGTTAAAGGATGTATAGGAATTTTGTATTTAAAGAGAAATATTTTTAAAAGTTAGTATAATTTACTGTTGTAATTGCGGTACAAATTTTAGAACTAGACATGTAAAAGTGTTAAAATAATTAACCAGAATACTACTTACAAAAATTTCTATATTTTAGAAATAAATGACTATTTATAGTAAAGCCAGTTGATACTTTAACAATAGATGACCGTTTATTTATTTATTTATTTATTCTTTATTGCACCAAATATTTGTACAAAAGGTGAGCTTAATGCTATATGGCATTCTCTACCAGCTAACCTTGGGTAGAACAGAGAGTAAGTTTGGGCAGTTAAGCTGTCATGATATAATTTAGTTCAAATATATACATACAACACATACATAAAATATACACATATATGTAAAATATATACAATTCATATACATATATAAATAAATACACACACACACACACACACATATATATATATATATATCACTAAATGTATATATAAATAACTATAATCATATAAAGTAAGTTGACTCAACTTTGTAGGCTACGGATATGCTCCTATAGTTTTCTTTTAAAAACATTTTTGGCAGGTATTGTTCGCAGGTCAACAGGCAATTTCTTCCAGAGGGTAATGGAAGTAACTGTGAAAGCATTTGACATAGACCCACAATGGTGGAGAGGAATGGACAGGAATAAACTTTGTGAAGAACAACGATTGAGAGAATGAGTGTCACTAAGGAATTGAAATCTTTCTTTTAGATAAAGGGGTGAGGAAGGATCATTAAGAACTGAAAACAGAGTGGACAGGATTCGTAAATTTCTGCGCTGGCGTGTAGTCAACCATTTTAACTGAGAGCGAAATTTTGAAACTTGCCCATATTTGCGCAGGCCAAAGATGAATCGGATATAGTTGTTAAGTAACTTTTCCAACCTGTTTAGCAGCTCCTGAGAAATATTAGTTAGACAAACATCGGCATAGTCAAATAATGGAAGAATTAGAGATTGGACAAGAAGACGTTTAGTTGAAGAAGGCAGAAAGAAATTAAGGCAAGGAACGAAGTATGCCTGTGACTTAACGACAAACCTCGGACACCTGTGATATCCAACTAAGAGACGGGTCGATAATTAAACCCAGATCTTTGACACTATTTCTGAAGGGCATAACGCAGTTTTCACAGTAAATGGATGGTAGTTCAGATATGTTAAGTTGTGACACCAATCGACGACTACGGCATTTATTGGGATTTACCGTTATACCGAAGCGCTGTGACCAGTGTGATATACGTTATAAGTCACGATTAATAGCTGCGATAGCTGAATCAATTTCACCCAAGGACGCTTGTGAGTATAACTGAAGATCGTCAGCATAGAGGTGGTAAGAACATTGAAGGTGGGTAGTTAGTTGATAAACACCGAAGACAAGAGAGGAGAAAGAATGCCGCCATGCGGTACACCTAGAGACAGGTCGCACCAGTCGAAAAAATCCTGACCAGACCGAACAGCCTGCTGGCGAATGCGAAGATAAGAGGAAAACCAGTTCAGTGCTGACGAGGCAAAATTTAGTGGTGAAAGTAATTTCAGTCGTGATCGATACAATTGAATGCGTTTGAAAAGTCAATAAGGACAAGAACAGTCAAAGATGTACCGTTTGTACTAAAAGCCGGTTTATATCCTAGCAGGAGGTGGTTAGATTAATCTTATTTCAATTATTTGTCGACAGAAATTTAGGTAATATTACATATACTAGCTGTGCCCGCGGCGTAGCTCGCGTATACAGGTTTTACATAAAGAATTTGTCGTTTAGGTAAGAGAATATTAAACGATTTTTTTCATTACTGTATCAATAAGTGGTAACTAAATAAATCATTATCATCAAAGTTATAAGTCGTTTATGATAGAGCTTCTGTGTAAACGACGTTAGAAGTAGGCTTAGTCAGGGTGTACACAAAAAGGTTACGGGGGCTACTAACGCGGGAAAAAGCAACATAGAGTTGGCCATGTGCAAAACAGTCAGTACTGAGGTACACTCCTACAACGCGTAAAGTTTGACCTTGCGCTTTATTTACGGTCATCGCAGAACACACGCTCACTATAACTGGGAACTGAACGCGCTTAAAACTGAAAGGAAAGTTACTTCTTAATAGAGGGTTTTTGGGCAGTGCTGCCAGATAAAAAAAAACTCATTCAGCTCTAGGACAACACAAAAAGCGCTAGATTTCATGAAAACAGCGCTTTAAAAAAACACTAGATTTCGCGCTAAATTAACTACAAACAAAGTTTGTGTTTTTTTATATAATCATAATAAAGAAAACAACTTTTTCTGGCAATATTTTTTTGATGTATCAATACTTCGCAGAACATCAACTTATAATTATGGCAATTGCTGTCAACAGTAGTTAGTACTGTACGAACAATAAAAATGTCATTAATTGTTTTAAAGTACAATGTATTTCGCAACTTAGTTTCAGATGTCAGCATCTGATTGCGGTTGCTACACAGTTTCTTTGTGTTATAACTTTTAAGTAACTTTTAACTTAGCTGTGCTCTAAGCAACTGACTGAAATTGAATAAAGCAAAATAAATGCGTTGCCAAAACCATGAACGAAAACTTTAATAAAGGGGATTTCCCCGCTTATAGTCGTCGGTAAAAAAATCAAGTTGATCATCCTAAAGGGGAAGCCAGGAGATCCATAGCACAGGGTATCCTAGTTTGGACTCGTCTCCCATGCTCTTTGTTTTGTGGAAAGAATATGTTTGAAAAAGATAAACTGCAATGTACTATTTGTGG